ACAATGTTTTGGGTACTTGAGGGAGTTCACAAGTAAAACAAAATTCTGATACCACAAGGAAGATACAGAAATGTCTAATTAAAAATACCAAATTGGGCCCAGTGGTTAAGACAGCTGCATTCCACATTGGAGTACCTGAGTTGGAATCAGCTCCACTCCTAATTCCAGCTTCCTGCTAAGGCAGACTGTGTGAGGCAACAAGTGATGGCTCAAGTAGTTGAGTCACTCACTGCCCATCTACATAGGAGACCTGGATTGACTTCATTTTTTTTTAAGATTTATTTTTATTTATTTATTTGAAAGTCAGAGTTGCACAAAGAGAAGGAGAGGAAGAGAAAGAGAGAGGTCTTCCATCCATTGGTTCACTCCCCAACTGGCCACAATGGCCCAGAGCTGCGCTGATCTGAAGCCAGGAGCCAGGAGTTTCTTTCCGGTCTCCCATGTGGGTACAGGGGCCTAAGGACTTGAGCCATCTTCTACTGCTTTCCCAGGCCACAGCAGAGATCTGGATCAGAAGAGGAGCAGCTGGGACACAAACCAGCGCCCATATGGGATGCCGGCACTGCAGGTGGCAGCTTTACCCACTATTCCAGCCCCGGCCCCAGATTGAGTTTTTGGTGCATGGCTTTGGCCTGGCCCAGGCTTAGCCAGTGTGGGAATTTAGGGAGTGAACCACTGGGTGGGAGCTCTGTCTCGTTGCCTCTCAAATAATAAACTAAAAAATATCAAATCATATTAGAAACTAGAACACATGACATATACTATAACTGCTATGGCAAAAAAAAAAAAAAAAAAAAAGGAAAAGAAAAGAAAAGAAATACTCCATATGGGGTAGAAGAGTAAGGCCAAGTTTCATGTAGGATGCGCAGGACTGAATAGACGTTCCAGACTGGGAGCCAATTACAGAAATGGACATGTGAGGGCAATGCAGAAGAGACATTGACTGTGACAAGGGTGCAAGTTGAATAAAGTTTCCTTGATGCAGTCATTTAACACAGCTGAGAGCGTAGCACAGCTAGGTAACAGGGACTCAAGTGACTCCTGAGGACACCGGGACATCGGGGGAGGGAGACACTGGGAGTTCAGGGTGGAAAATAAAGCAGCTTGTGCCTTGCAGAGTCAAGCTGGGCCAAGGGAATTCTCAGGAGCGCGTGGAGGCCCTCTCCCTGGTAGGTGGGCTCAAGCTCATGACCGCCAAGCTCCTCCCCAGCTTCCTGAACTGCTTCTCTGACAACTTCATAGCAGTGCGGCAGGCGGCCTGTTTGGCAGCTGGTGCCCTGCAGATCCGCAATAAGATGGTAAGTCAGGGAAACACATCCTCAACTCACCTGACTGACCTCAAGAGGGTCTTCCCCTCCCTTGTTTGTGCACAGTACACTCACTACTCTGTGCTACACAGAACGAGACCAGAACCAGAAAAGTGAGGGGGTATGTGGGCCACGTCAGTTAGGACTATTCAGCTTCCAGCCAGCCCCGGCTTCACTCTGGGGTACACCCCCTACATCCTATAAGCTCACCTCAGTTAACTGCTTCTCATTATCTGGGGGCTGCTGGGCTTCGGGACCAACTCCAGTTGAATGCTTTTAATGGAAAATCTGATTGAGGTGTTTAGACACAACAGGTAATTTAGCTAATCCACTGTATACTGGCTGGTGCTTCAAGCCCTAGCTCATTTGTCACTAGAATTGATAAAAAGTTATTTTTCAGTTATAGCACCTTTCAGAGATGAGAGGAGTCCCCGTTTCTGGTCTCCCACTTAGCACTGCCTTTTATCCATCGCAGGTGCTGGACTGCCTCTTGAATCTGATGCAAAGAGATCCTTACTGGAAAATCAAGGCCTTCGCCATTCGAGGTATTACAGTAGAGGCCCCAGTTCTTCAGCATTAAACACCATCCCCTATGCTAGGACAGAAGATCCCCAGAAACTCTCTGGTTAGGGAATGGAGTACAGGGGAGGGAATGAGCTTAACTTCTCAGAAGTTCCTTGCCTGAGAATGGAAAGATTATTTTCTTCTTTTAGTTGTCAGTAAAAGATCCTGAGTATAGGTCTCTGTCAAATTTCATAGGGCAAAGGGCAGATAAAACAGTTCCTGCCACCAGCACTGTTCCAAGGACATGTACCAAGTAGATATCCACTGTTGAATACATCTTGCTTTCTCTAGAGGTTTCAACTATAGCACTTTGTAAAGTCAGACCAGACTCAAGATTGCTATAGACTAAAACCCTGCCTGCTAATTTTCTTAGTTTCTTTTTAAGATCTTTGTCATTGCTTCTTTTCACATGGTCTTTGGCATGTCCCTAGCAAAATTAGCTCTAGGTAAACTTGTGAAATAACTATGCCATTTCTTCCCATTACCCTGCCTTGACTAGGCTGGTCTTTCAAGTTATCTGTCCTATATCTCATACCTAAATAGGCGGTCTGTGTTCATATCCTAAAGAGCAGGGATGGTACAACAACCCCCACCCAGGAAGCTTTCAAGGTTCAATCTGTTCATTCCTGGATGCTAGCATGTAGCCAACTCCAGTGATAGTGAAACATGCTTCCCGCTCATCTCTGCAGCTCTGGGACAGATCGGGCAAGTGAGTCCCCAGCTGACAGATCTCCTGCTCTGGGCTATCCACTATGAAGAGTCACCAGGTGTGCGACTGGAAGCTTGCCGTAGCATCCTGGCCCTCAAACTCCAAGGGGATCGGGTTAGGGACACGTTCCTAGATGTGCTGCTCCTGGAGAACCACGAGGCTGTTCTAAGGTAGGCAGTGAATCTCCAGTTCTGCTATGACTTCTTGTGCTACCAGCCTCCCATCTTTGTTCACTAAATATGTGAACGTCCTTGTCTTTCCAGGCTGCCTAATGACCGTAAAAGCAAAGGCTTGCCTGTGCCATACACCTACTTACCCAGTGGGTAACAGAAAAAAATTGGCCTAAATGAGATTGAAAAATTCCATGCAGTTCATGTGCCTTTTCTCTCCCCTACTCTGGAAGATTTTAAGTTATTCATATGTTCAACTGACATTTATTGCGACAACGGGCTATAGAGTACAAATGGGGTCTAAATTCCATTCTGTCGTGCAATAGCTGTGTGAGCCTGCATGAGGAACACAAACTCTCTGAGCCCATTTTCTCATCCAACAGATAATAGTCTACATGAGAGGGTGGAGTTGATCATCAACGAGATGATAGTACCTGTCAGAAAAGTGTTCAATGGTACCTTAGTACCTTCAAATGTATCAAAAACTACACAACATCTTTGTAACTTAAACATCATACCACTTTTGCAGATAGAGCTCAGCAAAACTGCAATTAGAACAGGAATTTGGGATTCTTGCCTAAGGACAGGACAGAACAATCTAAACTGCTCCTTTTCTTTCAGAGAAATTTACCAAGCAATGAAGATACTCAACTTAGAAAACGAAGGCAATCAGGAAATGCTTCAGGAGATCAAGAACAGGGTAAATAAGTGTAAACTATGCTAAAGAAAACTCAGGGCACTCAAGAGTTCCTTTACCCTTTTCCTCACTGCCAAAATTTTTTCTACAATCCTGGAAATCGATACCATACCATTTGAAGACAAAACATATATGCGTAATTGAATTCTAAAATCCTACTAGTGCGGTGGGTGTTTGGCACAGCAGTTAAGATGCCCACTTCCCATGCTGGAGTGCCTGTTTGGCTCCTCCACTTCAGATCCAGCTGCCTGCTAATATGTACCTGAGAGAAGGCAGGTAACAATTTTAGTACTTGGGTCCCTGCCACCCATGTGGGAGACCCTGAGCCCCTGGTTCCTGATTTCAGTCTGGCCCAGCCTTAGCTGTTGTGGGCATTTGAGAAGCAAATGAGCAGATGGAAGATATCTATCTCACTCTTTTAAATTAAATGAAAATAAATACAAATTAGGAAAAGGAACCAAAACAAAAATCTTACTAGTCCTATCAAATAGCCCTCAAAATCAGAGTTTACTGTTGTTTCTGAAATACTGTTTCCCTTCCCATCCCCCCCCCCAATCTGCTAAACCCAAGTTGTTTTGCTGTTTTTTCTTGCACAGAGGCATAAAGGAGACATTGGAGTTGACACCCTAGTTTTTTCCTTCTTAATTTTCCTAATTCCTAATCTGGGCTTTCACCCAAGGACCTCTCTGGGAACTGAAAGGGTTGTTCTATTTTTTTGTTTTAAGATTTATTTATAATTCATTTGAAAGGTAGTTAGAGAGAGAGAGAGAGAATCTTCCATCTGCTGGTTCACTCCTCAAATGGCCACAATGGCCAGGGCTGGGCCAGGCTGAAGCCACAAGTCTAGAACCCCACCTGTCTCTGATGTGAATGCAGGTCCAACTTCTTGGCTTATCTTCTGCTGCTTTCCCAGGAGCATTAGCAGGGAGCTAGATCTGAAGCAGAGCAGCCAGGATGGGAATTGGTGCTTCAATAAGGGATGCTGGCATTGCACATAGCAGCAGCTTAACCATCTCTGCCATAATACCAGCCCTGGGTGTTCTAATTTTTAAAGCTATGAGATGAAATGAAGGAATAGAGGGAAACGAACTTTAAAAAGTTAATTCATGGGGCTGGCATTGTGATGCAGTGGGTTAAAAGCCCTGGCCTGAAGCGTCGGCATCCCATGGGGCGCTGGTTCGAGTCCTGGCTGCTCCACTTCCAATCCAGCTCTCTGCTATGGCCTGGGAAAGCAGTAGAAGGTGGTCCAAGTCCTTGGGCCCCTGCACTCACTTGGGAGACTCGGAAGAAGCTCCTGGCTTCGGATCGGCGCGACTCCAGCCATTACGGCCATCTGAGGAGTGAACCAGCAGATGAAAGACTTCTCTGTCTCTGCCTCTCTCTGTAACTCTTTCAAATAAATAAAATAAATCTTTAAAAAAAGTTAATTCACTGGGGTGGGCATTGTGGCACAGTGGATTAAGCCACTGCTTGGGATGCCTGCATCCCAATTGGGAGTGCCACTTCAAGTCCTGGCTAGTAGGCACTTCGAATCCAGCTTCCTGCCAATGTACCTGGGAGGTAACAGATGATGGCCCAAGTACTTGGATTCCTGCCATCCACATGGGAGACCTGGACGCAGTGCCTGGTTCTTGGCTTCAGCCTGGCCAACCCCAGCTGTTACAGCCATCTGGGGAGAAAACAAGTGGATGGAGGATGAGGATATCTCTCTCTCCCTCCCTCCCTCCCTTTTTCTCTTTTTTTGACTCTACATTTCAAAGAAATGAATTTTTAAAAAAAGTTAATTCACAAAACCTACTTCACACCAAGCAAGGATTTCTTAGCAGACTCCTTTCATCAATGATCAAAAAGCTAAAGGAACATTTGCATTAACAGGTATAAGTATCTTAAGAACACAATCTTCTCAGGCTTTTATGTACTACCTAAGAGAGTAATAAGTATAGTATAGTTAACTTATTAATACTTTTTGATGATTTGCTATTAATTTTTTAACATTGGTTGTTCTAATCTAGATTAAAACATTAAGCCAAAAAGACTTGGTGACACAAAAAATACTCAAAATTGAGATGGTCATAGGAAAAGTGAAGGAGGAAGCAAAACGTGTTTACTCACAACCCCAAGAGGGGCAAAAGCCATTGGAACTTCATACTTTTCTCCAAGAAGCTTTCCAGGGTAGGTTTCCTAGAAGTGTGTCCTATAACTTGACTCTTAAAAAGCCTGTTCCAGGAACTGGATGTTTTAGGAGTTAGTAGCAAGCCCTGTAGGAAAAGAATCAAAGAAAGCTACTTCCTTCCCCTCTTATCCACTATCTGTTCGGGCTTTCTATTATTTTCTTCCTAATCTTCCAGGTTTTTATCATTTGCTATTTTGTTCCTCAGAAAGAAAAAAATAATAGTTTTATTTGAACTAATTTAAAAGTTGGGTCAAAAGGCTTTATAAAATAACAACAACAAAAAACCTTAAAAAAAATCTTTAATAGTTGTTATCTCTGGAAAGTGAAGTTGGAGAGAGAGCTATCATTTTTCTTTATGTACATCTATGCTTTTGTGAATTTTTAAAGACTTTATGGAATGGGCATTTGGCACAGTGGTTAAGATGCCACTTAGGACAGTCGCATCCCATTCTGGAGTACCTGGGTTTCAGTCCCAGCTCTGCTTCTGATTTTGACTTCTTGCTAATGCATACCCTAAGAGGCAGCAGTTGATGGCTAAAGTGCTTGGGTCCCTGCTATCCACATGGGAGACCTGGATTAAGATCCAGGCTTCAGCCTAGCTCAGTCCTGGCTGTTATGTACATTTGAACCAGCAGATGGAAGGCATCTCTCTATGTGTGTATGTGTGTGTTTGAGCCTTTCAAAAAAAAAAAAAAAAAAGTTTTCAAATAAATGAAGACTTCAGAAAGTTCTCAAGTTCAAATAACTGAACCTATTAAATATAGTGAAAAGCATGCTAGACAACCACCTGTATGATGAAGATGCAGAAATCAAGCTGTACCAAAATATACTTACAAAATGTGTGCCCAGGTGCAGTAGCAGCCTCAGGTCATTCAGCCAGCTGCCTACCAGCCACCACCCCAAACCCAGGTCTTCTGATTCCAAGTCCAGTGCTCTTTCTGGTACACCAGGCTCTTTTCCACCAATCATGAGAATATTCACTTGCCAGATTTGGGGAAGTTTCTTCCAACTGCCAGAAGAAAATGAAAGTGGACAGTAACTGAACACTAGCCTTTCCATAAGGCCAGCTTGCTACAAATTGGTTGACTAAGGCCCATGATATCACAACTATTAGCATGCTGCCCCCTTTTAGGATTAATGCCAGCCATTGGTAAAAAGCAAGCACTCAGCAAAAACAAAATTTTCTTAAAGCTCACTCTCTGCTAGTGTTAAAGTAACTTTGGTACTGTGCTGCTTGGTATTCAAGTAGATAATAAAAACAAGCAAATTAACCCTAAGTTGAAAGAACTGGCCTCCATCAGATGAGTTTCTTTAAAAGCTTGTTTAACATGCCCCGTTTAATCATCCTACAACCACCCCGAATGGCTTTTCACCTCAGCCATTAGAGATTGTTCCTGTCTTCCTCTCCCTCCCACATTTCTTCAAACCATCCCACATAACAATCTAGCCTTAGAAAAAGAGAAATGTTCTTTGGCACTTTAATAACTTTTCTAATGTTCACACAAGCTCAATAACAAACAAGATACTAACCCCAACCGTCCCCCAAAACTGATGAAAGAGAACTCAAATCAAAGATGCGAATTCCAAATAAAAAAGTTTCTAACGTCTCAAGCAAATGTCACAGCTAGAGTTATACAGCACACTGAAGAGGGATGAAGTTGTGCTCTGAAATAACCAGGGATCAAGGTTACTTCTGCAGAAATAGCTCCTTCTTTTCCACCTTTAACTTCCAATTTTACTTTTGCACCTAGATGAGCCGGTTTTCCCTAGAAGGCAGTCTGAGTTCTGTGACGTCGATGCAGTCATAAAGGTAAATGTGAGCACAATGATGGTTATCATCAAGGTAAGAGCACTTTTTTCAAAAGTAAAAAAATAGTGGCAGTGTTCTGGGAGAATCACTACTGCCTTGTTTCCAGCAATCAGCAAGAAACTAGCTTAGGGCTAGAGGCATCTTGGTGAGCAGCAGCCCCTTATCATACAACATGGTTGCCAAAGAAAGCTGGTCCTCCACACTGTCACAGGGCAGGTCCCCTACTCTGACAAACTCTGGGTAGGAGCGAAGCAAGAGTTCCATGGCGTCAGCTTGCTGGGGGTATATTTCCAAGCACTTGGGCTCTTCCAGATGATAAACGCGGGAGTTTTCCACTGTGTAATAAAGAAACAAGTGACCTCCCTCCCCCACCAGCCTGGCTATCCCATCCTGAAGCATGTGGACTTCGGTTTCTGTTGTCAGCTGGGCGCCCACGTTTACAGGTCCTCCAGCCTCCCAGCGAATCGGGAGCCCGTGAACACTCAGTGCCCTCTCCCTGTCAGTCAACACGGGGGGCAGCGAATCGTGGATGAAGTCTTTGGCTCGCTGGTCAGCCACAGCATCCACAGGCGCAAAGTGTCCCAAGCGGGCAACCAAGACACGCACCTTCTCCATGAAAGCCGTTCTTCGTGGATCCTTAGAATCCGAATGCTGGGCCCCCATGTAATCCATGAAGTCCCGGGGCAGACCCCTGCGAAACTCCACATTTTCTTCCATTGCCGCCTGCACAGCCAGAGGCAGTACGGCCTCCAGAAAGTCGCCCCAGGTGTTGCGCTGGTACGTGGACAAGGTGAGGTGCAGAGAGTGGGCTCCCTCCTGGCACTCGGCTTGGTGAATGAAGCCGCGCGGGAAATAGAGCAGGTCTCCGGGTTCCAGCACGGTCTGCAGCACCGGCTCCCCGAGGTCGTCCTGGCTGAAGTTGGGGCTGGATGTCAGGGCCAGTTCCTCGGTGGGGACCCGGGGGCGGTAGACGCGCCAGAGCTTCCTGCCTTCCAACTGCAGCACAAAAGCCTCGATGTCGTCGTAGTGAGGAGCGAAGCCCTGCGAGTTGGGGGGCGTGAGGTAAACGTTGGAGCCGGCCATGCTTCCAAACTGCTCCTGCAGCACGGCCAAAAACTGCCACACGGTGGCCGAGAAAGCCTGCGGGCAGAGCAGGCGCAGGGAGCAGCCGGCCCGGTACAGGGACCAGGCTGCAGCGGGCAGGGCGCGACCCGGCGGGTTCAGGGTCTCCCGCCGCCCGTTGACGTAGCGCGCGGCGTCCAGGTGCTGCCCGAACTGCACCTCCTCGTTGCGTAGCATCGAGTCCAGGTCGGCGGTGGAGAAAAGGCCCTGGTAGTAGGTGGGGTCCTGCCGCCGCACCAGCACCGCCTCCCGCTCCCACAGGCGCCGGTAGAAGTGGTCGGGCGGCATGGGCGCGATGAGCCACTCAAACAGGCGCGCCGCCCGCCGCCGGCTGCTGGGAATGCGGTTCAGCTCGGCCAAGACGCGCTGCAGCGGGGAGTCCCAGGGCAGCCCCCCATCCGCGCCGTCCACGGGCGGCCCCGGCAGCGTGGCGGGGGTCCCGGCAGGCGGGGCGGCCGCCAGGTGCTGGGCGGCGCACAGCAGCGCCGAGGCGTCCACCACGCGCGCCGGCGGGGTCTGCAGGGAGCGCGCGGCGGGCGAGGCCTCCAGCAGCTCTGCGGGGCTGAGGTGGCCGTACGGCTCGCGCCGGGCCGCGTCCGACGTGGCCGCCGCGCCACCGGGCAGCGCGCCCCCCAAATCGCCAGACGTCGACTCGACCCTCGAGTCCTCCGAGTCTTCACTCGGCAACGTCTGAGCCCTCAGCGCGGCCATGCGGGACGCCACACTCCTCCTCAGCTGCCGGCGGATCTTCCTGGGCCTCAAGGGCAGGGCCAGGACCGACCCACCGTGGGACTGGGGCTGGCGCCGACGTCTCAGCCGCCCGCGCCTCAGCAGTCCCGCGCTAGCCCGAACCCCGTCCATGGCCCGACAGTCCCCCCCAGAGCCGGGTTCGAGCCGAGGAGAAAGGGTCTCACGCCGGCGCCGGCCCGCGGTGCACTCTGGGAAGGGGGCGTGGTCTCCTGGGCTGGTCACGCCCACTCGTCGTGCGCCCCACCCCTCCCGTTTTCTTGGTTAGCAAAGGTTGCTTTTCCTAGATGCGTGCTTTCGCACTGGGGCTGCAGAATCCCTGCCAAACGAACTGACAAGGATCCCATGTCCAGAGGACAAGTTAAAAAGCACGTTGGTTGGAACAACAGGAGAAAGATAGGTGGCTACTTGGTTGCTTTTCCCTTCTAGTCTGCCTATTGCACCGTTCCTCCAGGCATGTTTCCCAGTAGCTACCCACCAGAAAGTGCACAACTGTTACCTTCAAGGAATACCCTCAGGCAAAGTATGACTTTCTACACAAACCTCGCCCGGTCCTCTTGTCCCTAGAGATGACTTCATTTATCGAAGCCTTATCTAAGAGTTCCTCCTCCTTTCCCCTTTACAAAGCCCAGCAGTGGTTGTTATGGACTTCTCTGACTTGCATCCCTGCTAGCTGACTCCCCACTCCCCTGGGACTTTGTCTCACAGCTATGGATTCTTTTTCGATCTTAATCAGCTTCTGAAGTTTGTGCCTTTCACCACGGGAAAGGCGGTAGATGTGATGCTGTTATGACTGCTGTCCGGACAGGTGTGTGACCTAGAAGGGGAAGTTGCCACCTGCCTCGCTGGCATCCCATATAACCATATTCTGGTTTGTGTTCTGCTGTTCCACCTTTTTTTTTAAAAAAAAAAAAGGTTTATTTACTTGAAAGAGATACAGAGAAAGGGAGAGACAGAGAGATCTTTCATCCACTGCTTCACTCCCCAGATGGCTGCAAATGGCCAGGGCTGGACAAGGCCGAAGCCAGGAGCTTCTTCCAGGTCTCCCACATGGGTGCAGGGGCCCAAGCACCTGCACCATCTTCCTCTGCTTCCCCAGGCACATTAGTAGGGAGCTGGATTGAAAGTGGAGCAGCTGGGATGGGAACCAATGCCCAAATGAGATGCCAGAATCACAGGCAGTCGCTTTACCGGCTATACCACAACTTCTGATCCAGCTCCCTGCTGTAGCCTGGGAAAGCAGCAGAAGACGGCCCAAGTACTTGAACCCCTGCCATCCACAAGGGAGACCCGGAGCCTGGGCCGGCCCTGGCCCTTGCAGCCATCTGGGGGAATGATGCAGGGACTGGAAGGTGTGTGTGTGTTTGTGTAACTCTAACTTTCACATGGATAAATAAATAAATCTTAAAGAGAGAGAGAAACTACTGCTGCTTTGTACATAGGTTGTCTTTATTTAAATCATTTAAGATGAATTCCCAAAAGTAGAATTGCTGAGTCAAGCACAAAATAAATTTTGTTATTAGGTTTTACCAAACTCTCCTCCAAAAAGATTTACCAAATTGCTCTGCTTCCGATGTTGCAAACAAGGGTAAGCATAGAGAGTACTTCAGAAAGTTTGTGGAAAATGCAATTTAAAAATAAGCTTGTGGGGGCCGGCGCTGTGGCTCACTTGGTTAATCCCCCGCCTGCGGCACCGGCTTCCCATGTGGGCACTGGGTTCTAGTCCCGGTTGCTCCTCTTCCAGTCCAGCTCCCTGAGGTGGCCTGGGAAGGCAGTGGAGGATGGCCCAAGTGCTTGGGCCCCTGCACCCGTATGGGAGACCAGGAGGAGGCACCTGGCTCCTGGCTTCAGAAAGGCGCAGCGCCGGCCGAGGCGGCCATTTGAGGAGTAAACCAACAGAATGAAGACCTTTCTCTCTCTCTCTCTCTCTCTCTATCTATCTATCTTTCTACCTGTCAAATTAAAAAAAAAAAGTTTGGGTGCAAAAAAATTGAAATCCGTGCATACAAGGACTCTTCAAACAGTTCATGGAAAAAGTATATTATGAAAAAAGTCTGCATGGCTCCTGAAGTTGTTTTACATCTGAATAAACCTATCATTTAATCCTATTGTTCTCTGTACTTTTGAAGAGCCCTCACATTAGATTACATAGCCTCTAGGGCCTTTTCTTTGCTTCTGTTTGAACTTTTTTTTTTTTTTTTTTTTTTTTTTTGACAGGCAGAGTGGACAGTGAGAGAGGCAGAGAGAAAGGTCTTCCTTTACCTTTGGTTCACCCTCCAGTGGCCGCCGTGGCCTGCGCGCTGCGGCCGGCACACCACGCTAATCCCAAGGCAGGAGCCAGGTGCTTCTCCTGGTCTCCCATGGGGTGCAGGGCCCAAGCACTTGGGCCATCCTCCACTGCACTCCCGAGCCATAGCAGAGAGCTGGCCTGGAAGAGGGGCAACCGGGACAGAATCCGGTGTGCCAGCACCGCAAGGCGGAGGATTAGCCTATTGAGCCTCGGCGCCGGCCCTGTTTGAACTTTTAACAAATCCTCTTTCTTGGCCACACTCCTATCCAAATGCTTGCCAAGGCGTTACACTCATGTGTAACAGCCATCTTTTCTCTTTTTTTATTTCTCACGTGCTCCATTACACAGATCTCTGGGGTCAGTTTTGCCTCCCTGAAGACATTTGTCAATATCTTATGAGGGGAGGGGTGGTTCTAATGTCTACTGGGGAGAAACTAGAGGTGCTGGGGTGAATGTTTGGTGCAGCAGTTAGGGTGCTCGGGATGCCCACATTCCAGATCACTGCACCTAGTTCAAGTTGCAGCTCCTCCACTTCCCAGCCATCTTCCTGCTTATACAGCCTTCGAGGTAACAGGTAGTAACTCAGGTACTTGGGTCCCTGCCACCCATGGAAGTCCCAGATTGAATGCTGGCCTCCTGACTTAGGCCTGGCCCAGCCCCGAGTGTTGCCAGTGTTTGAGAACAACAAATAGAAGATGAGTCAATCTCTCTCTCTCCCTCCCTCTCTCTTTCTCACTCTCTCCTTCCCTCCCTTTCAAGAAAATTTAAATGATATGCTTCTAAATAGCCCACAATGCAAAGGATAACATATCCCTACCTCGTGCAAACACACACAAAAGCAATAATCTGACCAAAAAGGTCAGTAGTGCCAATGTAGAGAAGCCCTGGTCTGTTACAAGTAGCTAGTCTCCTGAGTAGTGTCTGCTTTTAATCTCTCCTATGCCAGGCTAAATCACACGTCGCTACAAGATTAATGTTCTCAAATTGTGGCCTCAAACTCATCATCACTTTACTCAAAATCTATCCAAGGGCTCCATCCACCAACGCGAACTCTTCAGCTAGCGCTGAAGTCACAGAACGTCTTAGCCTGTCAGCCACCACTCCCTTACACTCTACTTCTGCAAGCTAGCCTGCTGTTCTTTGCCTACATCATCCATCCTTCGTGTTTCCCATATTGTTCTTTCTAAAGGCTAACTTCCAATCTTCGGTCAAAACCATAAACAGCCCATTGTGTGTCCTATCTCTCAGAAAAGGCTCTACCATCTCCCTGATCACAAGACAAGTTTTTTTCTTTCACATGATTTTAACACACCGTGCCTCATGTTGGTGATTTATGTCCTTGTCCTGTTCCTCCCTAAACTGTAAATTCCTTCAAGGAGAGGAGTTCCTTATGCCTTTTCTTATCCTCGCTTGATTTTGACACACTTCCTTTTCACAAAGAAGGTGCACAGGAAATGTTTGTGATAAGCAGACCAACCAGAATCGAGTCTTTCCTATTCCTTAGTTGGGACAATTGGCTCAGGCAAGTTATCCTCTCAGGTCTTGGTGACCACATCTGTAAGATGGGCATAAGAATTGAACCTGCTTCTTCATAGGATTGTTGTGAGGATGAAGTCATGGATTTAAGGCACTTAGCACAAGACTTTGTATAGAGCTAAACACTTTTAAATGGTAGCTATAATAATTTTTTATTATGTAGCAAAGCTCCATATAATGACTTACCTGCCACTGGTCTAGTTGGAAGAAATGGATTGGTTGAGTGGGGCAGAGAAGTTCTTTTTTTTTCTTTTTTTCTTTTTTTTTTTTTTTTTCAATTGATTTGAAAGGCAGAGAGATCTCCCATCTGCTGGTTCACTCCCTAAATCCCACAACAGCTGAGGCTTGGCCAGGCCAAAGGCAGGAGCCAGTAACTCAATTTCAGTCTCCCACTAGATGATAGGAACCCAAGTACTTCAGTCATGACCTGTTGCCTTCCAGGGTACACCTTGGCAAGAAGCAGGAATTAGGGGGCTGGCTATGTGGCATAGCAGGTAAAGCCACCACCTGCAGTACTGGCCTCCCATATGGATGCTGGTTCAAGTCCTGGCTGCTCCACTTCCAATCCAGCTCTCTGCTCTGGCCTGGGAAAGCAGTAGAAGATGACCCAAGCCTTGGGCCTCTTCACCCAAATGGAGACCCAGAAGAAGGTCCTGGCTCCTGGCTTCGGATCAGCACAGTTTCAGCCATTGCAGCCATTTGGGGAGTGAACCAGTGGATAGAAGACATCTCTCTTTCTCTCTCTCTCTCTCTCTCTATCTCTCTCTATCTCTCTACCTCTCTGTAACTCTGCTTTTCAAATAAAATAAATACATCTTTAAAAAAAGAAGCAGCTGGAATTGGAAGCAGAGCCGGGACTTGAACCCGGGCAGTCCTATATGCGATGCAGGCCTCCTAGCAGTGATTAACCTTACTCTGCAGAGAACTTCTTGAGTTGGGCAGGGTAAAAGTGAGGGTTGGGAAGTTTGTTGTTTTGTATATGCTGTACAGAAGCTTAAACAAACCTGTGAGGACCATATCTGACAAAGCCAGTTTGTGAGATTATGTAGGTACTGCTCTGCACAGGGATTCCTGGTCAAGGGATGAGGTAAGGGCTGAAACCAATTCCTGTTCTCCCCACAAGTGCCCCCTGCGGCGGGGCTTCAGTGTCTGGAGATAGGAACAGCAGGAGGGGGAGCCCTCTTCCCTCTTGACACAAAGGCCGTGTTAGATTGCTTGGGGAAATGTTGGAGAAGAGAGCAGGTCGCAGTTATAACTGGGAACTCTAATTGCTTTTCTAAAGAGAGTGGTTTCCAGTTGACAAAGGCCACATCTCTGACTGCAGAGCTGGGGGCCTCTGCGCCCTATTACAAGAGACTGTAAGTT